GAGGAATGAACCAGCGAATGGAACATATTTCTCTCTCATCCTCTGCTTCTCTCTGTGTATCTATCTTTCAAATAAATAAATCTTAAAAAAAATTCATATGGGCTGGTGCCGCAGCTCAATAGGCTAATCCTCCACCTGCAGCGCCGGCACCCTGGGTTCTAGTCCCGGTCGGGGCGCTGGATTCTGTCCCGGTCGCTCCTCTTCCAGTCTAGCTCTCTGCTGTGGCCCGGGAGTGCAGTGGAAGATGGTCCAAGTCCTTGGGCCCTGCACCTGCATGAGAGACCAGGAGAAGCACCTGGCTCCCGGCTTCGGATCAGCGTGGTGCGCCAGCCGCAGCAACCATTGGGGGGTGAACCAATGGAAAAAAGGAAGACCTTTCTCTCTATCTCTCTCTCTCTATCACTGTCCACCCTGCCTGTCAACAAAAAATTCATATGGAAATACCAGAGACCCCTAACTAGCTAAAGCAATCTTATATAACAAGCCAGAGGCATTACAATACCACATTTCTACATACTACAGGGCAGTTACGCGTCACTATGTTCCTAAATTTGTATATATGAAATACATGAAACTTGTATAACTTTAATAAACTTAAAAAAAACAAAAAAACAATTATGAAACAAAAAAGAAACAGGAGAGCTAAACTGCACTATAGATCAACTGGACCTAATAGAGATGTATAGAACTTTCCATCTAACAGTTATAAAATTCATAGTCTTCTCAATAGCACATGGGATATATTATATAGTAGTTTACAAAACAAGTCTCTACAAGAGTAAAAGTCTAGAAATAATATGACACCTTTGACAAAGAAGCCTAAGAACAGGCATTGGGAAGAGGATAGTTGTTTTGATTTTTTTTAATAATTCATTTATCTATTTGACTAGAGAGACAGAGAGGCAGAGAAAGACAAAGAGAGAGGCAGAGAAAAAGAAATAGAGAAATCTCCCATCTGCTGGTTTACTCCTCAAATGGGTGCAATGGACAGGGTTAGGCCAGGTCACAGCCACAAGCCAGGAACTCCATTCATTCATGTCTCCCACATGGATGTGGGGGCCCAAGCATTTGGGCCATCCTCTACTACTTTCCTAGGGACATTAGTAGGAGCTGGACCAGAAGCAGAGTATCCAGGACTCAAACCACTGCCCATATAGGATGCCAGCATTGTAGGCGGCAGTTCTAATCACTACATCATGGCGCTAGCCGTAGGCATAGTCTTTTAATAAATGGTGTTGGGAAAGCTCTATCACAATGCAGTAAAATTAGAAATTGACATTAAGAAAAATGTAAACTACACTAATATATGGAAATTAAACAACTAACTCTTGAACAACAAGTAGGTCAAAGAAGAAATCAAGGGGGAAATTAAAAAAATTTCTTGAAATGAATGAAAATGGAAACAACATAACAAAACTATAGGATACAGCAAAAGCAGGTCAAAGATGGAAGTTTATAGCAATGCCTGCCTGCATCAAAAAATCAGAAAGATCTCAAATAAACAACTTCTCATTGCATCTCAAAGAATTAGAGAAACAAGAACAAATCAATCCAGAATTGGTAAAGGAAAAAAATAATAAAACTCAGATCACAAATAAATGATACAGATACAAACATACACTCAAGATCAAAAATGAAATGAAGAGCTGGTTCTTAGAAAGAAGTTAGGGCTGGTGCTGTGGCATAGTAGGTTAAGCCTCTGGCTGAGGTACCAGCATCTCATATGGGCTGTGGTTCAAATCCTGGCTGCTCCTCTTCTGATCCAGCTCTCTGTTATGGCCTGGGAAAACAGTGGAGGATGGCCCAAGTGCTTGAGCCCCTGAACCCATGTGGGAGACCCAGAAGAAGCTCCTGGCTCCTGGCTTTGGATCAGCCTGGCTCCAGCTGTTGTGGCCATTTGGGAAGTGAACCAGCAGATGGAAGAACTTTCTCTCTGTCACTCCCTCTGTCTGTAACTCCACCTTGCAGGCAGCAGCTTTACCAGTTACACCACAGCGTTGGTCCCTGCTCCACTTCTGATCTAACTCTCTGCTATGGCCTAGGAAAGCAGCAGAAGATGGCGCAAGTCCTTGGGTCCTTGTACCCATGTAGAAGAAGCTCAAGACTCCTGGCCTTGGATTGGCCCAGCTCTGGCCATTGAGGCCATTTGGGAAGTGAACCAGTAGATGAATGGAAGATCCCTCCCTCCCTTCTTCCCTCCCTCCCTCTCTCTCTGCCTTTGCCCCTCTGTAACTCTGCCTTTCAAATAAATCTCTTAAAACTTAAAGTGAATCCTTCTTAAATTATTTAAAATATAGAAGAGGAGGGAAGTCGTCCAAGTTCTTTCTATGAGGACAACATTACCTTGATACCAAAACCAGATAAGGACACAACACAAAAAGAAAGCTACAGGCCAATATATTTGATGAGCATATGTGAAAATCCTCAACAAAATACTAACAAACTCAATCTAACAATAAGCACATTAAGATCATTTACTATGATCAAGTGGGATTCACCCCAGTGATGCAAGGATGGTTCAACATACACAAATCAACAAATGTGATATACCGCATCAACAGAATGAAGGATAAAAATCATATAAACACTTCAGTAGATGTGGACAAGGCATTTAATACCATTCAAACATTCCTTCATGATAAAAGCTCTGATCAAATTAGGTATAGAAGGAACATACCTCAGCATAATAATGACCAAACACAACAAGAGAATAGCTGACATCTTATTGAATGGGGAAAAGCTGAAGGCTAACTCTCCAAGATCTGGAACAAGACAAGGATTCTCACTTTCACTTCTGTTATTCAATAGAGGATGGAATGCTTAGAGCAATCAGACAACAGATAGAATTCAAGGGCCTCCCAACTGGAAAGGAGGAAGTCAAACTGTCACTGTTTGCAGATGACATGATCTTACATATAGAAAACCCCAAAGACTTCACCATAAATCTATTAGAAATAGTAAGCAAATTTAGCAAAGCTGCAGTATAAAAAAGGCAATGTACAAAACTCAGTAGCATTGTTCTATCAATAGTGAATCATAAGAAAAGGAAATTAAGAAAGCATAATATTTCTGAGAGGGAAAAAAACTAACCAAAAAAACAAAACCAACAGGGGAATGAATTTAACCAAAGAGGTAAAAGATCTCTATAATGAAAACTTTTAATCATTGATGAAAAATTTAAGAAGATACAAAGAAATGGAAAGACATCCTGTGTTCATGGATTAGAAGAATCAATATCATTAATGTGCATATTACACAAAGTGATTTATATATTCAATGCAATCTCTTCAAAAATCTCAATGACATTTTTCATAGAACTATACTGATTGTTTCCTTCACTGTGCTACTAAAATTTGTGTGAAACCACAGAAGACCCCAATAGCCAAAGTGATCCTGAGCAAAAAGAACAAAGCAGGATGCATTATATTACCACAGTTTAAAATATATTATATTACTACAGTCATTGGCATGGTATTAGCATAAAAACAGGTCCATAGACAAATGGAACAAAAGAGGGACCCTAGAAGTAAAATCACATAGCCAACTGATCTTTGACAAAGGTGCTAAGAACATGCATTTGTAAAAGGATAGTCTTTTTAATACATGGTGCTGGAGAATTGGTTATCCACATTCAGAAGAATGATACCTATTTCTCACCACTCAAAAAAATCAGCTCAAAATGGACTAAAGACCTAAATGCGAGAATCTGAAAATTTAAGAGAATTAAAAGAAAACATAGTTGGGGCTGGCACTGTGGTGTACCAGGTAAAAGTCGACACCTACATTGCCAGTATCCCATATGGGCACCAGTTTGAGTCCTGGTTGCTCCACTTCTGATCCAGCTCTCTGCTATTGCCTGGTAAAGTAGAAGATGGCCCAAGTCCTAGGGCTCCTGCCCCACATGGGAGACCTGGAAGAAGCTCCTGGCTCCTGGGTTCTGATCAGTACAGCTCCAGCTGTTGCATCCATCTGGGGAGTGAACCAGTGGATGGAAGACCTCTCTTTCTGCCTCTGCCCCTCTGTAACTCTGTCTTTCAAATAAATACATAAATTTTAAGAAAAAGAAAGAAAAAAAGACTAGTTTACCAGGAAAAAAAAAAAAACATAGAGAAAAATACTTTAGGATATTGGAATAGCCAAGGATTTTCTGAATCAGAGCCCCAAAATCACAGCAAATGAAAGTAAAAATAGACAAATGAGATTTCATGAAACTAAAGAGCTCTCATATAATGAATGAATAATCAACATATTGAGGAGACAACCTACAGAATGGGAGAAAATATTTATAAGCTAAACATCTGACAAGGCGCTTAATATCCAGAATATATAAAGAACTCAAGCAACTCAACAGAAAAGTCCAATTAAAAAATGGGGAATATACCTGAACAGACATTTCTCAAAAGAAGACACAAAATGCCCAGCAGGTACATGAAAAATGCTCAGCATCACTAATCAGGAAAATATAGATCAAAATCACAATGAGATTTCACCTCAGTTTTATGAGATTGGCTATTAGGAGAAAGACAAAAGATAACAAGTGTTGGTTGGCAAGGATGTGAAGAAAAGGGAATTCTTGTATTTTATCCATATATACCATATTTTTATTTCAGTATGCTTTACATACCAGTCCTGAACCAGAATGGGAGTCTTAGGGAGCCAAGATTCAGTTAAATGAATGAGAAATGGCCAACACATTTAGCTATACAAATTCAAGAGACTGCAGGTGGCCAGAAGGTATGCTGTGTGGACCCAACTAACATGCTTTCAGCAACTTGAATTTGAATGTTTAGGTGGGCACGTGCACTGTTGGCCAGTGTTGTAATTATTCCCTATTACATTGTATACTTGCTGGCCAGCTTGAGTCAGAAGGCTGAGCTCCTAATTCCTGAATTAACACAAAAGTTTGGGTTCTCTAGATCCCAAATATAATTTCCCAGATTTACACTGGGGTAAGGAAGCTCCCAGCTCTGGGAAAGAGTGTCCCTGCCCTCTTTTCATACCTTGTTTAACGAGTTCTTTAATTCTCCCTGGAGTTCCAACACCTAAGTGCACTACACGTTTCTCCAGCAGCTTTATCTGCTCCTGAACCTAGATAGAAGGCAGAAAAGGAGTCATTAAGAAAGTGCCAACTTAGAGCACTTTATCACAATGTTAGGAGGGCAAGAAAGTAAATCGGGCTACCCTTGTTCCGGGTCAACTTTCAGCACAAAGATGACCATCTCCATAGAAAACTGGAAAACTCAAGAATCCAGTATCTCTTACCAGGAACCACAGACTTTGCTTACCTTTATGTGTTTTGCAAATAATTTCATGACTTTGCTGTCTCCTTTGAATGCTGTCATTGACCTAATGAAAAGGAATAGATTGATACTTAAGAAAACTCATTCCAGCCACACTGACTACTTACGTATTATGTCTTGCTTTATACCAGGAATGTGTATATATGCACATACCCAGAATATCTGAGATATTTAGGTTAGTCCATCTATGATATAAAAGTGGGCTTACCTTTTATTCAGGCTCATATATGTGTTGGCTTCTAGCTCAAATATACAAAGTTAACTTTACTTAGGCTTCCCTGATCATTGAAACACCTGGATCTACTCTTTATTATTTATAATATAGAAACTGTTTCAGGTCCCTGGCAGAGAATTTATCTTCCAACTTCATTATGTAGTTCTCACAAAAATGTGGTTGCAAGAGCTATCTTAGAACAGTTATGTTGGCCTGTACTCTGTGGGGCCCAAAGGCATCCACAAAGGTCTGTGTGTGGTGGCCAAGAGGAGCTGGTGGGTGAGCCTACCTTGTAGACTGAGCGTCACTGTAAAATTTTATATGTGGAAATGCTTTGGCCTGAATGGAGGGAGGAAGGAAAAGAAAAGGGAAACCACTGATGGAAAGGACTGGCCGACTTGGAGCTACTAGGGCAGGAGGGTACCATAAATGAGTAAGCTGATCTGGGATGTGGCCATGAGAACTGAGGGGGAACTAGATAGTGTGGGCTATGAAGTGTGTGCTCAGGTCAACCACAAGTGCTCAGCTCAGCCCAGTTCTGGTTTTTAAAGAAGGAAGAAATCAAGATTATTTTTATGTGTCACCTGACTTTAATTTTTATTTATTTATCTTCATTTTATTTGAAAGGCAGAGAGAGAGAGAGAGAGAGAGGGAGGGAGAGGAAAGGAGGGAATTTTTTCCATCTGCTGGTTTACTCCTCAAGTGCCTTTAATAGCTAGGGCTGGGGCCAGGCTGAAGCTAAGAACCAGGAACTTCATCGGGGTCTCCCATGAGGGTGACAGGGATCTATTTACTTGGGCCATAATTTGATGCTTATCAAGGTATGCATTAGCAAGAAGCTAGAATTGGAAGTGAAGCCAGGCTTTGAACCCTATACTGGATTCAAATCCAGTATAGGATTCAAATTTAGGATGTGGATGTCCCAAGGAGCATCTTACTTACTGTTCAAAATGCCCACCTTGTAAACTAATTGCAAATATAGGCAACTCATTTTCATTCCAATTCTTTAGGCACAAAGTATTTGTAGGGTAGACTTAACCTCTGGGTGGCCTTTGATGTAGGACAAGTAGTCCATTTATTTTCTAGGTATTCAATAATCTTGCTATATCTACATTGATCCACAGCATCAGCACTGTGGGTTGAGACCACACTGGTTGGTGTCTTACAGGACTGCTTTTAATACTTCCACTTTGTATTATATCATCTGTCCATTTTTTTTTACTTGTTTAAAAACAGGTTTTTATTTATTTATCTGGAAGGCAGAGTGATGAGGTGGGGTTGGAGGAAAAAGATATCTTCCATCCGCTCATTCACTACCCAAATGACTGTTATGACTGGGGCTGGGCCAGGCCAAAGATAAGGAGCCAGGAATTCTGTCTGGGTCTCTCACATGGGTGGCAGGGGCCTAAGCACTTGGGCCATCTTCTGCTTTCTCCCAGGCACATTAGAAGGGAACTGGATTAGAAGTGGAACAGCTGGAACTTGAACAGGTGCTCTGATATGGGATGCCGGTAAAACAAGCAGAACTACAATGCCAGTCCTTGTCCATCATTTTTCTTATATAGATGCCACTGACTGTGATGCCACTATGTCACAGTGTGAAAGGCTATACTTCTCAGAGGATTTTTTTTTTAACTTAGAGAATGCCATGAATCTAGTAGTTGATAATGTTTCTCAGCTTATCCTGTTACTGGGAAGAGTAGGCCCACAGTATTTGGGGCTAATTCTGCATCTGAACAGGGCTTTATGGAAGTCATCTTGAGCACAATTCCTAGCTGGTTTCATCTGATTTTATTTTTTTTACTAAAAATTAATTTGTAAACATTATTTTAGTTGTACACACTAGGATACAGTGTAATAATTTGGTATATGTATTTAATGGGTGATGACCAAACCAGGTTAATTAGCATTTCTAAATCCTTAAACATTAAAAAAATACCCAACTTTTGGTTGGTATGCTTCACCTGATTTTCTGATCTTTATTTTTTTATTTGCTTCTATTTTCACCACCTGTTTTTTATTTATCACTCTTTTTCCATGGGTGATGATTATATTGGGTTAGACAACATTTCGATCTCCTTAAACATCTTTTTAAACTTTTTTTTTTAAGTATTTATTTAAAAGTCAAGAGTTACACAAAGAGGAGAGACAGAGAGATCCTCCATCTACTCGTTCATTCCCAAATGGCCAGAAAGGCAAGGGCTGGGCCAGGCTGAAGCCAGGAACCACAGGCTTCTTCCAGGTCTCCCACATGGGTGCAGGGGCCCAAGGACTTGAGCCATCTTCCGCTGCTTTCCCAGGCCATTAGCAGGGAGCTGGATCTTTAGTGGAGCAGCCCCGACACAAACCAAGGCCCTGTGGGAAGCTGATGTTGCAGGAAGCTGCCTTACCCACTATGCCACAACACCAGCCTCCCAAAAGTTAGAATTCTTAAACATTAGTTTTTATGAATAGGGCTCCTTGTGTCTGCTCAGAAATCACCTTATTATTGGGAACACAGAAAAATACTGAGAATTGGTAAATGAAGTGTGACAACACAGTGCTTTCATGCCCCTCGGAAAGGAATTTATGTACAGTAAAAGCTCAAATCAATTTGACAACTTGTTTTTAAGAGGCCACCTCCAGGTCAGGCTCTTTGGCATTCCTGTTTGAATCTGAAATGGGTTCTGTGGTGGTAATTTGTAAGGCAGTGAGAAGTCAACGTGAACCCCTCTGACTTCAGGATCAGCAAGTGTAGCTGTCCAGGAGTTGGAGGCTGGGAGATCAGTCATGCTGGAGCAGAAATAGTAGTTGAAAGAAACATTTGTTTTATTGGGAGGGTATGTGAGACAATTTAAAGGGTGTGCTTAAGTGAGGGAAGAGGGTCTGAAGGACTATTAGAGTTTAACAACTGCTTCTCTAAATTCATGATTAGATTAGTTCACTTAGGAAAACTGGTGCTAAATGTCCACATTTACTTCTTAGTCTATTTCATAGTTCTTTTTCTTAATGACTTGGATTTGCCTATTTTTGTCTCCTGTCAAAGTCTGACCCAGAGCCTGGCTCCCAGAAAGAACTGGTTCCAGTAAATCTCATCTACTCTGAGGGCTCTTCTGTGAAATCTGAATGTTACCATTAACCCAGGGTGAGCTTTTTTATTTATTCTATATAAATATAGTAAATTAAAAGGGATGTGAAAGTACTTAGCAAAGCACTGACAAATTAACTTTAAAACATAATTTTTATATTTATAATTTTTGTTCATTTGGATTTTATCTTGGTGTAAGAATTGAACTATGAGTCCATTTTTTTCCCAGATGGCTACTCCATTGTTCCAATACCATTTATTGAATAATCCATCTTTCCTTATTTCTGATTTGTCAGCTTAACAATAGGCTACATTTTCATATGTATTTGGGTCTATTTATGAACTTTCACTTCTGTTTTACTGTTCTGATCTGGTCTGTCATATATGAGCCAACTGCATGCTGTTTTGTTTTTTGGTTTTTTTTTTTTTTTGCAGTGGTAAGCAAAGTAGCAGGGTTTACTGGGGGATAAGGCATCTGTTAGAATGGATGGGACAGAATCTGAGAGAGTGTCCAGTCACTCAGACTGGGGGAAAGCAAGGTTATGTGGTTAAATGGAAAGAATACACCTGGCAGGCCACCTGGATGGGCAGCTCAGCAGAGAGCTGAGAGCTGAGAGTTTTTGTTTTTGTTTTTTTTTGACAGGCAGAGTGGACAGTGAGAGAGAGAGACAGAGACAGAGAGAAAGGTCTTCCTTTGATGTTGGTTCACCCTCCAATGGCTGCCACGGCTGGCGCATTGTGCTGATCCGAAGCCAGGAGCCAGGTGCTTCTCCTGGTCTCCCGTGGGTGCAGGGCCCAAGGACTTGGGCCATCCTGCACTGCACTCCCGGGCCACAGCAGAGAGCTGGCCTGGAAGAGGGGCAACCAGGACAGAATCCGGCGCCCCGACCGGGACTAGAACCCGGTGTGCCGGCGCCGCTAGGCGGAGGATTAGCCTAGTGAGCCGTGGCGCCGGCCAGAGTGCATAGTCTTTGTTCAAACTGGGGTTTTTAAGGGAGCAGGTCTAATTCTTCTGTTGTTTCTCTCTGCCCCCTCCCCCTTCTCCTCCAGTACAAAGAGCTTGCAGAGTGTACACTGGGAAAGTTCCTCTTCAGGTTTCACTACTCAGTGCTATCAGACTGGAGAGCCCACCTGGCACTGGGCAGAGGAGCTTCTCCTAGGGTGTCTGCCTTGGAGGAAGGCTGTGAAGGTTTAATTGCTCCATGTTATCGGGCCAGGTAACCCATTTGGGGGTGAGGAGAGAGGACTGCCTCAGGGAGCTTGCCTATATATATTTACATACTGGTGTGTGTGTATGTATACATATATATGTGTGTGTACATATATACATATATAGAGAGTACATATATATAGTGTGTATATATATACATATATATATACACACAAACGCTTTTAATCTGAGGATAGTATCCTTTCCTACAATTCTTTTATTTTTTCAATTTTTATTTTTTTTATTAATTTATTTTTTTGCCAGACAGAGTTAGACAGTGAGAGACAGACAGAGACTTATAGACAGAGAGAGAGACAGAGAGAAAGGTCTTCCTTCCGTTGGTTCACACCCCAAAATGGCCGTCACGGCTGGCGCGCTGCGCTGATCCAAAGCCAAGAGCCGGGTGTTTCCTCCTGGTCTCCCGTGTGGGTGCAGGGCCCAAACATTTGGGCCATCCTCCACTGCCTTCCCGGGCCACAGCAGAGAGCTGGACTGGAAAAGGAGCAATCGGGACAGAATCCGGCACCCCAACCGGGACTAGAACCCGGGGTGCCGGCACCGCAGGTGGAGGATTAGCCTAGTGAGCTGTGGTGCCGGTCTCAACTTTTATTTATAAATATAAATTTCCAAAGTACGACTTTTGAATTATAGTGGCTTTTCCCCCCATAACCTCCCTCCTAGCCACAACCATCCCATCTCCCACTCCCTCTCACATCCCATTCTTCATCAAGATTTTCAATTATCTTTATATACAGAAGATAAACTTAGTGTATACTAAGTAAAGATTTCAACAGACTGCACCCACACAGACACACAAAGTATAGAGTACTGTTTGGGTAGTAGTTTTACTGTTAATTCACACAGTACAACACATTAAGGATAGAGGTCCTACATGGGGAGTAAGTGCACAGTGACTCCCATTGTTGATTTAACAATTGACACTCTTATTTATGATGTCAGTAATCACCTGAGGCTCTCGTCATGAGCTGCCAAGGCTATGGAAGCCTCTTGAGTTCACCAACTCCGATCTTATTTAGACAAGGCCACAATCAAAGTGGAAGTTCTCTCCTCCCTTCAGAGAAATGTACCTCCTTCTTTGATGGCCCATTCTTTCCTACAATTCTTTTTCAGAATTTCCTTGCCTAGTTTTAGTTGTGTATCTTCCTGTATGAATTTTTAAAAATATTTTTATTTATTAATTTGAGAGGTAAGAGTTATGACAGAGAGAGGGACAGAGAGAGAGGTCTTCCATCCACTGGTTCACTCACCAAATGGCCAGGAGCTTCCTCTGGATCTCTAACATAGGTGCAAGGGCCCACACACTTAGGCCATCTTCCATTACTTTCCCAGGCCATAAGCAGAGAGCTAGATGCGAAGAGGAACAGCTGGGACACGACCCGGAGCCCATATAGGATGCCGGTGCTGCAGCCAGAGGTTTAGCTTACTACACCACAGTGCTCCCCCCTCCCCCATATGAATTTAGAATTAGTTTATCTAGTTCAAAAAGCATACAGAGTCTTCCTATTCAAGAATATGTACACCTTTCTGTTGGTTCAGTATCTTCTGTGTCCCTTATATGATGTTTTCTTTATATAGAGTTTGGTCACTTTATTTCTTGGTATTCGGTCTTCTTGGGTTACTACTGAAAGTCAGATCTTTTCTTCCATTTTTCCTTCTAACTGGCAGCTGCTAGAACAGTCTCCCTGCTTTTACCCTCACTCTCCATAATGTATGGTCCCCACACAGCAGGCAAAGTGATCCTTTAAAATGCAGTGACTCCTCTGCTCTAAATGGGCATCTTATCTCAGCCTTCTGTGCTTACCGTCCTCTCTGCTGGGATTCTCTTCTCCCTGTCCCTTCGTTGAGGCTACTCTTCAGATTTTTTTTTATGACCACCTTTTTAAAAACAGTCCCCATCTGGGGCTGGAGCTGTGGTGTAGTAGGTTTAACTTCTGCCTGTGGCATCAGCATTCCACATGGGCACTGATTCATGTCCTGGTTGCTCCATTTTTGATCCAACTCTGGGCTAATGGCCTGGGAAGGCAGTGGAAGATGGCCCAAATGCTTGGACCCCTGCACCCACGTGGCAGATCCAGAAGAAGCTCCTGGCTCCTGGTTTCAGACTGCCCAGCTATGGCTGTTGTGGCCACTTGGGAAGTGAACCAGAGGACAGGAGAACTTTCTCTGTTTCTCCTTCTCTCTGTAACTCTGTCTCTCAAATAAATAGATAAATCTTAGGAAAAAAAAAAAAAGTCCACATCTACTTCCGTCCCTTCGCTATGCTTTTTTTCTTTATATATCTTATCACTATACCTGACATTATAATGTATATTTACAGATGCTCCTTGACTTCCAATATGGCCTACCTTAAATGTGTCCAGAACACTTACAGAGATCTTCCAAAAATTCATGGAAGATGCACATCATCTTTTAATTTCATTTTACTATAAACTTTTTGAAATGCTTTTGTACATTTGTCAACAGTTATGCAATATCATCTAACACAAAGCCGGTTTTATAATAAAGTATTTAATATCTCATGTGGCTGGTCAAAATTCAAAATATAGTTCCTACTGAATGCATATTGCTTTTACTTCATCAGAAAGTAAACAAAACAAACCTACAAGTTGAACCTTTGTAAGTTGAGGATCTTCTGTATGTGTTTATTACCTCTCTCTTCTACTGGACATAAATTCCATGATGCCAGGGGTTCTGTTTTGTTCATTGCTATATCTCTGATACATAGAACATACCAGCTTGACATGTGTCAATTATGCAGGAAACATTACACGAAAAACTGAAGCTTCTAACCTAATGAGCTCCAGGGCTCGGATGGCAGAGCTGCAGATGATTAGCATTAGGACGGATTTCTTCTCATTGTGGTTTTTCCGAAGTTTTACCCACTTAGGACAGACTGAAAAAAAGACCATCAAAAAATTATTCTAAATATAGCAAAATAGGGCCCTCAAAGGTGAGTATTCTTCAATTACTTCTTTGTTAGTATTTAAACAAAATAAAACATAGTGAACTCTGTTCATTATATTTAGTGATAATTCTATTTTCTGGCTACTTTAGATACTAAAATTAAAATGAAATATCATTAACTTAAAACAGGAAATGTATACTATGCCAAGTACCTATATGTGACTAGTTTTAGATCTAAGTAAGAAAATATGGAATAATACATTTTCAATATTTTAATTTGCTTGATGCTTGAATTCAATAGGAAAATAATTTTTATACAATGTCAAATTTTAAAAGGGTATTCAGCATAAAATATAAAGTAGAACTGACATACATATAATAGCAAACAAGTATTTAACAGTGACATTGTGCTAAGCACTTTACATTTTCCTTGTTAGTTTCATAATCCATTGAGATTGATTCTATTATTATCTAGATTTACTGTTGCAGAATTAGGTGCTGAGAAAAGCTTATGAACTCAAGTTGTATGTCATCAGAATTGTTTACAGTCTGGAAGAAAAGTGTTAATTTCTACATTTGAATATTTCACTGCTGGCCACAAATAAATTACCACCTGAAATGAATAATCTAGTTAGTCTTGGTTATATACAATATATATTAGAAAAATCTAATTAGATTAACTTTGCAAAAGCCACAATGTGAATTCTGAACATGTGAATTTCAGAATCTCATAGTTGGAACACAGATCACATACTCCAACTTCTTTAATATTCAGAAACAAAATCAAGTTCAGGGAGTACTTAGTAACTTGTCCCATGTCAAACAGCAAATTATTAGGGGTCTTGGGAGTACAGCACTATTCTCTGGATTCCTAGATGAATATTTCTAATGTGTTATAACAAAACAACACCAAAATCCAAATCCTCAAAGTCACAGAAAAAAAAATAAATTTAATTAAATTATGAATCAATATTAAGATGGACCAAAAACACTCTTCCGTTAAAAAAAAAAAATTAAAATGGAAACTTTTGATTTTAAATGAAACTTTTACAGTTTTTAAATTAAAGAGATAGACCTTGTTTTTTAATGGAATAATACATTGATGAAATACTTTTTAAAAATCAGTTTACAGGGCCAGTGTTGTAGAGTAGCAGGTAAAGCTACCACCTGTGATGCCAGCATCCCATATGGGTGTCAGTTTGAGTCCCAGCTGCTCCACTTCTGATGCAGCTCCCTGCTAATGTGTCTGGGAAAGCAGTGGAAGATGGCCCAACTGCTTTGGGCTCCTGCACCCATTTGGGAGACCCAGATGGAGTTCCAGGCTCCTGGCTTCAGCCTGGCCTGTGCCAGCCACTGGGGGAGTGAACCAGCAGATAGAAGATTCCCTCCCTCTTTCTCTCTCTCCCTCTCCCTCTCTCTGTGTAACTGCTTCAAAATTAATAAATCTTTTAAAAAAATCAGAGTTTACTTACCTTCTTTTAGGTATGATGAAAGACTATGAGTCAAATCATTGACCTTGAGGAAACAAGAATCTAGAAATATGGGAAATATATTTTGTAGGCATTTTTGCAAACGCAAACACAATCAAACTAAATTAAATATGAATGAAGTATCCTTGAATAGGGTAGTGAACTGGAAACTCAATATATATTTTAGAATATTGTCTAATATTTAAAATATCAGCAGTGGTGGAGCTACCCATCATTTTAGAGTAGTGAAATATAGAACCTGTTATATGATTCAGTGGACAAACCAAACATCTTTATTTTTCAAATCTATGGAATAGGCAATAGGCAAAGTGAAGTGGCTAACAAATATATAGAGATAAACTTAAACCCACCAGTGATTACAGAAGTGCAAAGTAATACAATGATGAGATAATACTTATATACTTATTGCAATGGTAAGTGGTAAAGATGTACAATACTATTCTTGAGGATGTAGGGTGGTAAGAACTCTTGTGAACTGGTAGGTGGCAGTGTAAATTGGTAATAGCTATTCTACAAAGTAATAATATTAAGATGTATGTACCCTAAGACTCCATGATTTAATTTCTGGGTAAATAATGGAAAGAAATCCTTGTGTGATCTATAAAGGTATATAAACAAGGATATTTTCCTGGCATCATTTGTCATACCAGGGGGAAGCACTGCAGGTGTCCATATCTGAACAAATGAATAATGTGAGGCAGATGCGGGTTCTATGGATCGGCGTAGCACCGGCCGTAACAGCCATTTGGAGAATGAACCAATGGAAGGAAGACCTTTCTCTCTGTCTCTGTCTCTCTCTCACTGTCTATAACTCTACCTGTTTAAAAAAAAATATGAGGCAGATGAAAACTCTGGGCTACCATGTAGCATTTAGAAGTAATGAACATGTGCATAAAGCCATATAGACATATCTAGGAAGAAGTGTCAGGTGAAGAAAAAATGATCAGCACATCACTTGGAAAATTTTAAAATGCATATACATATACAACATATTTTATAGGAATACATACAAATTTAAAAGTATATGTCAATAGAACGCCTATCAGGAAAGGAAAATAGAGTGTGGATTGGGAGACAATGGGAATAATTTTTTAAAATATAACACAATAGCACGATAAAAGACTACATAACACATTTAGAAAAGAAAAGAGGTGTCCTGCCCAATGAATATGGTCATGATTTAGTGATTATGTAGTATTAACTATGTAGCTGAGATATATTAAAAAAGCAACACTGGGGTGGACATTTGGAGCAGCAGTTGAGACACCACTTGAGATGCCCATAATCCCATTTTTGGAGTGCTTGGGCTCAACTCCAAGCTATGCTCCTGATGCCAGCTTCTTAGAGTATTGTTCAAATATTAAAGTTCCTGCCACCCATGTGGCAGGACTGGACTGAGTTCCAGGTTCCCAGCTTTAGCCATGGACATTTGGGGAGTAAACCAACAGATAAAAAAATCACTGTCTGTTACTCTTTCAAATACAATGAAAATTAAATATTAATAATAAGTGTATTTAAATATTTAATATATAAAATATTTAAATAAATATATTTAAATAACTATATAAAATATAAATGTCTAAATATATAAAATATATTTACATAAATAAATATATTTACATAAATATATATTTGTTGTATATTTATAAATAAAATGTAATGATAAAAATTTAAGAAAATTTAAAACAAATAATAAAAAAGCAACATCAAGGGTATCACAATAATTTATTCTGTAAGTAAAAAGTTTGCTCATAAACATAACAAAGTGTTAAGTAGTAAATTATTTCTAAATTAAATGAAATTCATATTGTGATCAGATAATTCACATTATATGGGTAATTCACTTCAACAATATTGCCTCTTTGATTTTTGTGAAAGCTTTGATGGTCTTTCAAATTGCAATTTACCAAACTTGGATATGATCAGACCCACCTAGATAGCTTTATAAACAATATAGATTCCTGGGGTGAACTCTCTTATGCATAGAGTTGGAATCCCTTGGGAGTAGGCTTGTGGATCTGCTTTGACAGAAGTTCTGGGGCCGGGGGCGGGGGCGGGGGCAGGGGCGGGGAGGGGGTTTAGCAATGTGGCACAGTGGGTTAAAGCCCCAGCCCACCATGCCGGCATCACACGTGGGTGCCGGTTCAAGTCCCGGCTTCTTCATTTCCGATCCAGCTCTTTTCTCACGTCCTTGGGCCCCTGCACCTGCATGGGAGACCCAGAAAAAGTTTCTGGCTCCTGGCTTCGGATCAGCTCAGTTCTGCTCTGGCTGATGCAGTCATCTGGGGAGTGAACCAGAGCATGGAAAACCTCTCTCTCTCTCTCTCTACCTCTCTCTTTAACTCTTTCAAATAAATAAATAAATAAAATAAATCTTAAAAAAAAAAAAAACACACACACACAGTTTCTGGGTGATTTGGCTGCAGCTGAGCCTACTGGTATTTTCAGGAATCACTGCTCTAAATCACACTGCAGCTCTCAGGAGAGAGCAGAGGCTAATCAGCTCCAGGTGACTCTGGCCTCAAACTCTAATTAAGTGCCCATGTGTATGATATTAACAATATACAGTGCACAATAGTAATTGAAAAGACTGTTCCTGCACTACAGACATAAACAACCTCAAATCAAAATGAAATTACACACTCAACTAAACTGGAACAATATTTTATGATCTATATCCACTCTCTCTATCTGTATCTGTATCTATATCTATGTCTACCCCTTTTCTTGAGCCTGTTCACTTAACTCATGGCATCTCTCCCTATCCTTGGTCTCATCAGAGTATGACCAGGGCCTTGCCTTCTAAGCCTTCCTATGATGCCTTAGTTTTTCATGTTTCAGCATGTCCTCACATCTTAACTGAAAATGAAAACCTGTTCTTTTTGGCTATAACAGTATTTCACCATACTTACCTTCTTCCTTAGACCAACTTAACGACCACACATTTTCATTTAACTGTACTACTGAGTCCTAAACCACCCCCCCCCCCAAAAAAAGCAAAAAAAAAAAAAACCCCACATAACACAAACTCATTATGGAATACAAATGACTCATTAAAGGTTTCTGTGACCTTTGAATCTCTACTTTTGGAGAGAATCTAGGTTTATGATATTCTATGAGGTTACAGAATGGCAGTGATCCAATCAACTCACAATTCCTTCCTAAATTCAAGGTATGCCCTAACAAAGCATTAGAAGGGAAAATTGACCACTGAGTCACAGCCCACACTGAACTTCAGCTAAAACTTGAAAAACTGTCAGCTATAGCACTTGCTTCCTGTGACAGCACAGTGAGGCATCTCTCACACTGGTATGCTGAGGAGACTGGTTTCCAACTGCTGTGGGAGCCATCTGGGCTCAGCGAGCCTCAAACTCCAGATCTAGCTCATGTGCAAATGCACCCCTTCAATTCCCTAAAGGGCAATTTTCTTGGAAAAGAAACAGACAGGCATTCATGGCTTAAAACCCAGTGTGCATTTTTTTTTTTTTAAAAAAAGCATATCACAAAAGAATTATAAACATCCAGGGAACAGACTGTTTTGCAGCTTCTCAAGCTTCTCGAAAGTATAAAGTTGTAATGGAAAAAGGAAATCAAGTTACCCTTGATTTTTTCCAAAATGAGTATTAGACATCCATAGCCTATAAATAGATCATCTGAAGCAGTAGTACCCAAACTGGTTATGGTTTGAGTTTACGACATCATCTATTTTGTTACAATCTTGCTGAAGAGTTACAGGATGTATTATAATTCTGAGACTGATTAAAGTCAGTGGGTATAATTTTGCAGTATCTTTCAATTACAAATACTCAGAGGCAATAGATCTCAAACTCTAGCAATCTAAAGAATTACCTGGGTGAGATGTCAGCCTTGCTAAAAATGCTGGTTTTGTTCCTTTTGTTAATTTGAAAAACTCTGGGCTGCAATCCAAAATACTTCTCTTAAAAACAAAACTTTAACTAGCAACCCATGATAAGGACAACAAAACCAAGATACTCATAAGGCTAAAGTCCTTGTTCAAAAAGGCTGAGTAAATCAAAGTTTCATAAGTATACTGTTTTTTTTTTTTTTTAATGATTTATTTGAAAGAATTAGAGAGGGGGGAGGGAGTGACAGAGAAACAGAGACAGAAAGAGATCTTTGATGGCTGCAACTGCCAGGACTGAGTCAGGGTGGAGCCAGGAGCCAGCAGCTTTATTCAGGTCTCTCACTTGGGTGGTAGGGGCCCAAACACTTGAGCCATTTTCTGCTGCTTTTCCCAGGCCATTACCAGGGAGCTGGATCAGAAGTGGAGCAGCCAGGACATGAACTGGCATCCATATGGGATGCCAGTGTTGCAGGTCTTGACTTTACCTGCTATGCCACAATATTGGCCCTGTAAGTATACTTTTAAAGTTTTATTTATTCACTAGAGAGGTAGGGGGTGGGGATGAGGGAGGGGAGGGAAAGGGAGAGAGAGAGCAATAGAGATAGATATTTCCCATTTCCTGGTGAGCCAGCTAGGGCTGGGCCAGGGCAAAGCCAATAACCATGAAGACAATCTAGGTCACCCATGTGGGTAAGGAGACTCATCTACTTGACCCATCACTGCTGCCTCCCAGAGTTAGCATTAGTAGGAAGCTAGAATCAAGAGCAGAGCTGGGGCTTGAAGCCGGGAACTCCAGTATGGAATGTGGGTGTCACAAGCGGCATCTTCAGTGATAACCAAATTCTCTTCGTATACTTCTAAAATGTGTGCTGTAAGTTTTTATTTATTTTTAAAGATTTATTTATTTGAAAAGCAGTTATAGAGAGGCAGAGGCAGAGAGAGAGAGAGAGAGAGAGAGAGAGAGAGAGAGAAAGGAGGGAAATGAGAGAGAGAGAGAGAGAGGTTCACTCCCCAAATGGCTGCAAAGTCCAGGGCAGAGCCAGGCTGAAGCCAGAAGCTTCTTCTGGGTCTCCTACATGGATGCAGGGGCCCAAGGACTTGGGCCATCTTCAACTGCTTTCCTAGGTACATTAGCAGGGAGCTGGATCTGAAGTGGAGCAGCCGGGACTCGAATTGGCACTCATAAGGGATGCCAGTATTGCAGGCAGCAGCTTTACTTGCTACATCACAGCGCCAGCTCCTAAGTTTTATTTTAACTTCTATTCTTATTAGGGATTCATAGCCATTAGAGTCTGCTTAAAAAAAAAAAAAAAAAAAAAGAGAAGCATACCCAACAATTTTGAAAGAAAACATAATCACAAATCTTACTACGAGATTTAACAAATACTGTTTAGCATTTTAATGAACAAATCATTAGCAGTTAAAACTATTTGGTTAGGTTGGCATTGATGACAGCATCCTATCTGTGTGCCAGTTTATGTCCTGGTTCCTCCAGTTCCCTGGTAATGGTCTGGGAAAAGCAGAAGATGGGACTTGGGACATGGGACATGGAGACCCAGATGAAACTCCTGGCTTCAGCCTGGCCCAGCCACGATCATTGTGGCCATCTGGGGAGTGAGCCAGCAGATGGAAGCTCACGCTCTCTCTCTCTCTCACTCCCTCTCTGATTTTCAAATACAAAGAAAAAAAACTCCCCCCAAAACAAAACAAAACCAAAATCAAAACCCAAAAAGTATTTGGTTAAGAAGAACTTCATGACATGGAAAATACATTTATTTGCTAGCTGGGACACCTACCCCATAACAATAGAGGGAATTCAGAAAGTGCATGAAAATGAAATTAAAAGATAAGTTTATTTTGGTTCAAAATTTTCTGGAAATCCACGTAGTTTTTTCATGAATTCTTTGAAGATCCCACAAATGCATGAATTCAAATTTTTTTGCACCAAAATAAACTTGTTTTGATTCCATTTTTCATCAACTTTTGGAAGTACCCTTAGAAAGTAGAGGACAGATGAGTCTGTTTTGCTCTTCATCATCAGGAAAACTGAAGGCTATACCTGGCAGGTTCAGTTCTTCTAATTCAATCACTGAGCGTCTGCTGCTGTAATAGTCCTTCATCAGCTGCTGTAGGTCTTCAGGTGTCCCTGGTTTGGGCTCTGATTTTGCAAGAATATCAGTAATTTTCTTCTAAATATGAGAAGGAAGATAAATAGTAAGATACATTTTAAAATGGCATTTGCCTAAGGATAGATTAATTTCTCTGGAGTTTAAACTGGGCATAGCTTTTGGAAATAACCAAGTGTGAGTGTGACCTCTAACAGATACTCTTGATAACATTTATTCACTATTGCTTTGAAAAATGGACAGGTGATCTGAAAGATTCTTTGAAAATCTTGGTCTGTGATTTTTGGGAGAACTGAAATTTCTGTAGAAGTCTCTGCCATGGGGTATTATTTTTGGTTAAAAGTTAAGAAATCATGTTGCTATGGAAAACTTTCATTAAGTCTTAGATGATTTCTGTTGCTGGAAGAGTAGTTTGAGAATTTCTTGCCCGATCTGTTTTTTGAGTCGTTGGTTCTCAGCTTGGATTTTGGGCATTTGAGTGAAGCCTGCAGGAGTAATCAAAGCATAGAAGCCTACTGAAAAGGAAGACTTTATGCTCCCCACTCTCAAGACTTGGGAGACTGACAGTCTTCAAATGGTCCTATGGAAAGAAGAACAGTTACAGGCAATACCTCCCAGCATCCATTTTTATGTGAATTAATTTGTGTAGCATTTATTGAATGCTGGAACAAAAAACTATTTAATTTTCATCATCCACTTCCCTTCTCACTTCCTTCAAATGTGTCATCAAAGACCCACCCTTTTCCACTTCTCCCCCTTTCTACAATCTCATTTATATGCCATTGCCAAGAATGATCAAGGTTCTGTTGAAGGAATTAACTTTCAAAAATATGTTCTCAGTGGGTAATTTTAGCATGACCTCAGCCAAGGGTAAACTAGCTCAAGTTCTGACCTTGAGCCACCAGAACTTAACACTCCTGCAGGCCATTAGTATACAAACTATCAAAAAGAAGTTAACGTCACTTCTTTAAGGTCTTGCCAAACCACAGCCATTTTGGCATCTCCAATTTTCCTATCTGGCCATTTGTGAGAAAAGAAAACATAGGCACACACACTCTTCAGTTTTCTAAAAGCTTGCTGTTAAGGAACTGGTTTGAGACTGTCTTCTTTCCTCTAATCTCAATCATATTTCCTCTTCTGACATCAGCCGTAGGCCCTCCTAGGCAAGCAGAGAATTACACTGCTGTTTTCACAACTGTGGTGAAAGGTGAAGGCTAACCAAAGTTTCTCCAAGGCTGAGCTGTAAAAAAGGTTGCACAGTCTTCCTTATGCTTACAGGCATACATTAGAACAAAGGCGAGCTTTTGCCTTAAATTATGGTTTCAAATTTGAGTCAGAAAGCCTTATGCTATCTTCATCTGCTTATTATTTTTTTTATTAATACTTTAAGGTATTGAGTCTTAAAAACTGGAACGAGTAGAAAAAAAAGGTTGGTAAATTTCTTTTCTTGGACAGAGCAAGAGGGGCTAAGGGGCAGGAGAGTTCTGGGCTCCTTCTAGAATTAGAAACCCATGTCTGACATCTAACCACAGTGAAAACACAGGGTGGGTAACTAAGAGGTGCGGTGCTCCACAAGACTGAAATAGGAGTCAAATGAATTTATTTTTGGCTCTACTTATTACTAGTGACCTTAGGAAAGTCACCAAACCTCCCTGATCCTTAACAATTTCTACCTCTCTAAAGCAAGGATTACAACAGTTGCTTCATCAAAGTGTGACTTATAAAAATGTGATAGAAAGCATGTGGGGCCATACCACTGTAAGAAAGTATTACCTTTCTCCTCTTCTTGGTCTTGGTGCCACCCTCTTTTGTTTCCTTTGGTTGTACCAAGAAACATTCTTTAGGCTACAAAGAAACACAAATGACAAAACTTTCTTCTCTGCAGGATGAAGTATGGATTAATGGTATGAATCCCAAAGTACTTTCTGCCATGCATGTTTTCTTCAGAGCATCTCCCTAACATTTTACAGAAAAAGATGTTAGAGGACACACTGTAGTTTATTATGCAGGGGTTAAGCTGAGAGTATCTCAGGAAATAAAACAATGCAGATGACTTAATACTGGAAAATCTGGCCAGCGCCGCGGCTCACTAGGCTAATCCTCAGCCTAGCGGCGCCGGCACACCGCGTTCTAGTCCCGGTTGGGGTGCCGGATTCTGTCCCGGTTGCCCCTCTTCCAGGCCAGCTCTCTGCTGTGGCCAGGGAGTGCAGTGGAGGATGGCCCAGGTGCTTGGGCCCTGCACCCCATGGGAGACCACGAAAAGCACCTGGCTCCTGGCTCCTGCCATCGGATCAGCGCGGTGCACCGGCCGCAGCGCGCCGGCCGTGGCGGCCATTGGAGGGTGAACCAACGGCAAAGGAAGACCTTTCTCTCTGTCTCTCTCTCTCACTGTCCACTCTGCCTGTCAAAAAATAAATAAATAAAAAATACTGGAAAATCTTTAAACAAAAATCAAATTGAGTGAGTGTATATGTGTACTTTGTATGTGCAGGGTATTAATGTTCAAAGACAGAGGCCAGGATTGTTAAAAAAAAAAAAAAAGGTAGAAATGTATGTGATTAAAATTGAAATGTGGTGGGGTAAGACAGTTTTTGAGCCTGTATTTCAAAGTTACCAGTTTATTATTTTGTACTATCCATTCCTTTCCTCTTTTCTATAATCATAGAAAATCTGAAGTAGGATACATTTATTTATGTTTTTATAAAACCAGCTGTACCAAATGCCTTTTCTACAGTGACTACAGATTAAATGTCTCATAAGAGTCTGATAACAAGTCTCGGCACCACAGCAGCCAGAATAATCTGCTCTGCCAGTTGCACTGACCCCCGAGTATCCTACACAGTTTAGTGCTATTTTTACCCTGAGCTTGTTTTACTTTTTTATGTAGGAAAAAAAACAGGAAATTTAGACTAAGACCTTGGCTTATAAAATCAAATGCCTCAAATTCCATATTTATTAATAATGAGCAGGAATATAAAATGTTTCCTGTGCTTTTATGTAGCATTTTTAGACAGGTTGCCAAGGAAGATATAAAATATAAGTGAAAACTTATTCTGAATTTTCTCTTGATTAAGTTTCCATTCCAACTAGAGAATGCTCAGTTTACGTTGGTAAATTGCTAACTAGAGCAATCTTGCCTCTACTGGCTCTGTTTAAAATGATTACAGAAGAATCTTTCTATGAAAACTTGCAGACAGCTTGTAGATTAAGAATGCTTATGGCCTGAAGTCACAGAGAAAGATAGAATGCTACATAATTTCTTCAAGACACTGGGCCAGCAAGGGACCAGCAGTTTCTGGATTCTGTTTCAGTTTGTGGAGACAGATTCAAGGTTTGGTATTAAAACAACACAGGGATCTTGAAATTTTAGCTTCTTCTCAATTAAAACAAAAAACCTGTAAAGGGCAATTGTATCGTGGCTAAAGAAAAGAATGACCTCTTTTATTTAGAAAGCTAAGCTGTCTTGGGGATGTTGATACATGCCAATTAGAAACTGGGCCACAGCCACTAACTACATTACAGAAGATGCCAGATTGTCAGGAGTCAATTATAGAGCAGGCCATCATCAGTCAGTGTTCCTCAGGCAAAGGACTGAATGTGCTCACTGGATCTCCTCAGTTACACTGCAGTGTCTCTTCACCAATATCAAGGTTCTGGTGAAGCAGATTTAGAAACCTGTCACATTTTCTCATTTAGCCTATGGAGGTGCTTTCTAGGAGTATATTCAACATAGTTGTATTCGTGCTACATTTACAGAACCAATGAATTCAAATACAATTCAAATTTAGAAAAAAGTTATAAGGATACAGATCTTCAGTTATGAAGCAAACATGAAAATGAAATTTTGAATCATGTATAGGAAAAAAAGAAGCATGCTTGAAGAATGGCTTTCATCATCAACATACTGAATCAGGTTTAACAGTTAGCTTCAAATTGTTAGACCATCCTAAAGGAAATGCCATAGATTTCTTTTCTGGGACCAGTCCCCTTTGCAGGCCATGGGTAATTTTTCCATATAGGTAAGATGGCAGTATGCAGAAATCCAAATCCACAGCACTGAAAATTCCCACAATTAGTCAGCTGTCTTATGAATATTGATCTCTATCCTCAGATACCATGGAAGATGTGGGAGACAGAGGTTTGGTTACTACCTATTTCTGGAAACCAATTCCAACAGCATGTGACTTTGAGAGTTGATAAGTAATATTTCTTCATATATAAGGTAGTAATCTTAAATATTTAGTATAAAGAATCATGTAAGCTGATTTCTAAAAATTTGTCAAAAAATAGAAGCAAAAGAGAAGTTAATTTGGTATAAAGATTTTTGAAATTCATCCATAGGTTTTTTTCATAACATGCATTTTCCATGAGTTTTGGAATACACTTGTACATAGACAAAATGTTACCAAAAACATAGGTTTTAAGAAAAACAATTGGAAGACCAGTATCTGCAAATAATAATTGATAGAATTAAAAAGGAGAGAATGATCCTACATGGGAAGCAGGATACACAGCAGACTCATAGAATGGCAAATGCCCTAAACAGCAGTCTGGCCTCAGAATCAGCCCTTAAGGCATTCAGATCTGGCTAAAAAGCCCATGAGAGTTTCACAGGCATGGAAAGCCAAGACACTCTGGCAAAAAAAAAAAAAAAAAAAAAAAAAAAAAGAAAATGACCTAAATGAAAGATCTTCTGTGCGTGAGAGTGAGATCCCAGTGGAAAGAATGGGCCATCAAAGAAGGAGGTACCTTTCTCTGAAGGGAGGAGAGAACTTTCACTTTGACTATGGCCTTGTCTAAATAAGATCGGAGTTGGTGAACTCAAGAGGCTTCCATAGCCTTGGCAGCTCATCACAAGAGCCTCAGGTGATTACCAACGTCATAAATAAGAGTGTCAACTGTTAATCAACAATGGGAGTCACTGTGAACCTGCTCCCCATGTAGGATCTCTGTCCTTAATGTGTTGTACTATGCAAATTAATGGTAAAACTACTACCCAAACAGTACTCTATACTTTGTGTGTCTGTGTGGGTGCAGTCTGTTGAAATCTTTACTTAGTATATACTAAGTTGATCTTCTGTATGTAAAGATAATTGAAAATGAATCTTGATGAAGAATGGGATGGGAGAGGGAGTGGGAGATGGGATGGTTGTGGGTGGGAGGGAGGTTATAGGGGGAAAAGCCACTATAATTCAAAAGTTGTACTTTGGAAATTTATATTTATTAACACTAGGCTGTATCTCCTATCCTGGCAGCCAAGCAACTCTCTCCTTTCACCTGGCCCTTCCTGTTAGCAGACTTGAGGTCTATTCCCTGGAGAAATCAAGGGACCAAAACATCTAGCAGAGGAAAGGAGGCAGAGATTGACGTTCCCTACACCTTCTGCCCCTGTTCCATGCTTATATATTGCAGGCTGGAGACTATTAAAATCTTCTTTGGAAAATGAAGTGAGCTGAGAGAAATGCCACAATACAGGAAGATTTGGAGGTCCAGCTTGTTCTCCAGTATCATAAGGAACACTAATCAATAAGCCATGTACATGCACAAGAAGTTTCACAGTTTCTTAGATTTATTTTATTTATCTGAAATGCAGAGTTACATATAGAGAGAGGGACAGAGGGAGAGAGAGAAGAGAGAGATTGATCTTCCATCTACTGGTTCACTCCCCAAATGGCAGCAACAGCCAGGGCTGGGTCAAACTGAATCCAGGAGCCAGGAGCTTCTTCTGGTCAGGTGAGTACAAGGGCCCAAGGACTTGGGCCATCTTACACTGCTTTTCCAGGTGCATTAGCAGTGAGCTGTATAGGAAGTGAAGCAGCCAGGACTTGAACCAGCACCCATATGGGATGCTGGTATTGGAAGTAGCAGCTTTAATCACTATGTCATAATGCTGGCCCCTCCATGAACTTTTTAGTAAATCTCTTCAATAATAGACAACTAAGGCTCAGACATCTAAGTAAAGTACAAAGTGTGAGCAAATAAACAACAAAAAGAACCCAGATTAGAATGAGACAGTACTTCAAAACAATTACATTCTCTCAGAGAGATAAAGGAAGATTTTGCTGCCATGAAGCAAAAATAAGATGCTATCAGAAAATATTTAAATATTGAAACAGTTAAGAAATTTGGAATAAAAAATATAAGAGGAAGGCTTGAAGATACAGGCAAACTACCATAAAGAGGTTAAAAAAAAAGATAAGAAAAAAATGGTAAGAAAATTAGAGAAATCTGGCCGGCGATGCAGCTCACTAGGCTAATCCTCCGCCTAGCGGCGCCAGCACCCCAGGTTCTACTCCTGGTTGGGGCACTGGATTCTGTCCCGGTTGCTCCTCTTCCAGTCTAGCTCTCTGCTGTGGCCCGGGAGTGCAGTGGAGGATGACCCAGGTCCTTGGGCCCTGCACCCACAAGGGAGACCAGGAGGAAGCACCGGGCTCCAGGCTTCAGATCAGCACAGCGCGCCGGCCGCAACACGCTGGCCATAGTGGCCACCTGGGGGGTGAACCAACGGAAAAAGGAAGAGCTTTCTCTCTGTCTCTCTCTCTAACTGTCTAACTCTGCCTGTCAAAAAAACAAAAACAAAAACAAAAACAAAACAAAAAGAAAATTAGAGAAATCAGCCTTAGAGACTCATCATTCATCATTCCAATTCAAGGTATTACAGAGAAAGAAGTCATATAACAAGGAAGGAGTGATTAAATAATTAATCTAAGAAAAACTTTCCAGAACTAAAGGACACTTTCTGGAATAAGAAACTCCAAATTAAAAAACCCAAAGTACAATAAATAAAAGTACAAATAAATCAGAAAAATACCCATCTTGTATCAATGTGAATGTTTAGAAAATCATGAACAGAGGGAAGATCCTAAAAACTTTCAGAAGCAAAAACAATCACATATAAAATACAAAGGATCAGGAAAAATAATTTTGTCAAGACTTCTCAACAGAAATAATGAGCATTAGATAAGCCCAATGGAATGATGCCTTCAAAATTACAAATGAAGTTTATTTGAAAATTAGACTTTTATACCCAGCCCAAATATTAATCAAGTGCACAAATAGAATAAAGATATTTCAGGTATTCAAGGATTCATACTTCTTATCTGCAGGTGTTGAAGGCTGTATTTCAGCATTAAGGGCTCAATCAAAATTAAGGAAGTTAAAGGATTTACCAAAAGGGAGTCCAATCGAAGAGTTACTGAAAGGGCATCCCAGAATGACAGTAAAAAGGTCTTGATTGCTCAATGGGCCTAGAGAATAACCAATTCAGAGAGGAACAGGAAAATGGAGGTTTGCAGGGAAGAAAAATAACTAATGTATTAGAGCATATGGAAAATATTATTCATGGGCATGTGGAAGAGATGTTGGAACATATGGAAACAATTAACAGTAGGAACACAGCAAGACAGGCAAATAAAGAAATGGGGCAATTATTAATGCCATGAAAATAAAGACTTGTATGAGAAAAGAGGTATGATTATAGCTTCTTTTTTCCCAGCATTGAGTAATATTTGCATGGTCATAATAATATAATTTGTTTTAATAAAAATCTGATATTGTGTTGTATGGGATACAAAAGATAGAAAGTAAATAGGAAGTAAATGGTAGAGAGCTTCCTCATATCCTGTGTCAGGAACCCAGTAGATTACGTTGGAAATTGATAAATCAAGAAACAGCAACACAAACTATAAAACAGCAAATAAGGAAAGAAGTCTAGAAAAGTTGAGATTTTTCTCTGAAGAAAAAAGTAGGAAAAGAATGAGGAAGATAACTGTTGTTTTTTCTTTGAGAATCTTTGATAGTATATATATGTATATTTTTAAGAATCACATGTAAGACTATTAGGTAAAAATACAAAATTTAATAGTCACTTTATAAGAAAACAAACATGTTTGTTACAAAAGTGAAAACTGCTTAGAGCTGGCTTTTATTTTCTCTTACGCTTGGTCACAATTTACTCACCAAAATGTCTAAAATCTCAAAATGGATGGTTCCCAATGTTGACAAGGATATAAAGCAATCCAACCTTTCATACACTGATGGTGGAAATGCAAAATGGTACCATATTTTTGGAAAAAAGCTTAGCAGTTGCTTTAAAGCTAAATATGCCTCAGCAAAAGTCATGTATTTACTCAAGAGAAAAAAAATAAATGTTCAAGAGTGTATATTTGGTGTGGCACTTAAAAAATTATTTATTTGAAAGAGTAAAAGAGAAAGAGAGACAGAGACAGAGAGAGATTGAGATTTTCCATCTACTGGTTCACTCCCCAAATGGGTGGATATGAGGAAGCTCTCTACCATTTACTTCCTATTTACTTTCTATCTTTTGTATCCCATACAACACAATATCAGAGCCAGGCCGAAGTTAGGAGCCAGAAGCTTCTTCCAGGTCTCTCATGTGGGTACAGGAACTCAAGCACTTGGACCATCATCTGTTGCTTTCCCAGGTGCTTAGCAGGGAGCTGGATCAGAAGTGGAACAGCCAGGATTCAAACTGACACCCATATGCGATGCCAGTACTGCATGGTAAGGCTTTACCCACTGTGAAACAGCACCAGCCCATTGGTGTGGCATTTTAAGATACCATTTGGGATGCCAGGATCCTATACCAGAGTGACTGGTTTAGAATTCCACCTTTGCTTCCAATTCCAATTCCAACATCCTGATAATGTGCATCCTGGGAGGAGCAGGTGATGGCTCAAGTACTTGGGTCCCCCTTACCCATGTTGGAGCTGAGGACTGAGTTTCAGACTCCTGGCTCCTGCCATGCCCAGCCCTGGCTGTTGTGGGTGTTTGGGGAATGAATCACTGGATGGAAGATCAGTGTTTGTATGTGTATCTGTCTGTCTGTCTTTTAAAACAATGCACATAACTTTCAGGCACATGAAATTTTAGAACAGGCACAACTAATTTTGGGGAGAAAAACAGAACAGTTGCTGCCTCTGGGGCAAGGAGTTTGGAATGGTGACTGAATTACAGTTGGCTCAAAAGGATTCTGGGGTGTCGGTATTTTTCTTTATCCCAGTAGGGATTTCTGTTATGGAGTTGTATGCATTTCTCAGAACTCACTGAACAGTACATTTGACGTGTGTTCATTTATTATATATTAACTTTCCTTCAAAGAAAATCTAAAAACCTTTTTAAAAGTTTAAGCTTTAGTTAATGATATACATGCTGAAATATTTAGGGAAGTATACTGATTTTACAAATTACTTTTGAATCTTTTTTTTTTTTTTTGACAGGCAGAGTTAGACAGTGAGAGAGAGAGAGAGACAGAGAGAAAGGAATTCCTTCTGTTGGTTCACCTCCCAAATGGCCGCTTAGGCCTGCGAGCTGCGCCGATCCAAAGCCAGGAGCCAGGTGCTTCCTCCTGGTCTCCCTTGTGGGTGCAGGGCCCAAAGGACCTGGGTCATCCTCCACTGCACTCTCGGGCCACAGCAGAGAGATAGACTGGAAGAGGAGCAACTGGGACAGAATCCGGTGCCCCAACTGGGACTAGAACCCGGTGTGCCGGCGCCGCAGGCGGAGGATTAACCTAGTGAGCCGCAGCGCAGGCCATACTTTTGAATCTTTTAAAAGCAAAGTGATTGATGGATAGTGTGCCTTAATACATTGTGAAATTTTTGACTTTAAAGACCATTGAGGGCAAGGGTTTGAAAAAGTGAGGAAAATCTTAGCGGAAATTGGAGAAACGGGAATTCTTTTTATCATGTAGTAGAAAGTTAAGCAATTCCATTATCTCTAATTAAAAGGAAAATAAAAAATGTGCATAATGATATGGATAATTTGATTTCAAAACATATGGTACTTTTCATTGCGAAGAAGGAAAAAAAATAAAAGGATGACTCAGGTGGCAGAACAAAGAACCGAAAGGGCAGAGTCAAGAACCATGAAGAATTATTCCTGGATATTGAAACATAAATTCCTAACATTTGTCCTGTTAGATTTCAGAAGGCTGTGGACCAATGACTCCTTATATTTCCTATTCTTCCAACCCCTTTTTGAATAAGAGTGTTAACAGAAGTTATCTTATGTCTCTCTCACCACTGTGTGCTGGATATGTGAGAAAGATAACTTGTCTCTTTAGTTTCATTAAGTTGAGAAGAGCTATACTTCAGGTACTGAACCTGAGGAACCTCAGCAGCACTTGGACCTAATACAGAAGATGAGATTCTGAACACTGAGTTCATGATATAATAGGATGAGATTTTGGCAAGCCCCTGGAGGGACCCATTCTGCATACTGGAGGATGTAAATCACTGGGGGCCAGAGGGCAGAAATTGTGGTAGATAGATTCCAAGAGAGTTGCCAATGACCTCTGTCTCCTCATAATCATGCCCCTCTGTAAACCCCTCCCATTGAATGGGGACTGGACTTACCATCTCGCTTTTAACAGAATATGACAGAAGTGATGAGACATCAATTTGAGACCAGACACTAAAAAGACTGTGTTTTCTGTCCTGAGTCCTCTTGCTTGCTGTCTTTTGGATCACTTGGTCTAGGGGAGTCTGGCTATGATGCTGTGAGGTTACCCTGTAGAGAGGCTCACATGGGAAGGGACTGAGGTCTTCCATCAATCACCTAAGTGAGCTTCAAGGTGGACTCTGCCCAGTTAAGTTCTCAATTCAGGTTCTCAACCCCAGGTCTCAACTTGACTGGCACCTGATAAACATGTAGGGTCAGAGGTACCAAGTTAAACTATGCCTGTAAGATAAAAGAACTTTGAGATAATGCATTTTTCCTATTTTAAGCTGCTAACTAACTTTGGGGTAATTTTTTATACAACAACAGATTAATACAAAGAACAGAGTGGAACTATCATAAGGAAGAGGCAAGGAAGAGTAGATAGGGCATAGTTTTGTTTTCTCTTAACAACAGCCAAGAATGATCTTGGAAATAAAATGTACAAGGAATATGAAATGATCAATGTTCAATGTAATGTAAGAACATGTAATAGTAGAGAAAGATGAATAAGGAGAGGAAAGGAAAAACACTCTTAATGAAGATTCCTTTATGATCCCAGGAGATAAACAAAAGGTTAGCTGAAGAAAAAAAGAGGTCTAATGTGGTCTCTGACAGGCAGAGGATGGGGCATGAAGCCACAGAAAGGCTCCTGATGTCATGGAGTCCTTGATGAAAAGTCACAGAATTCCTTGTAAGGGTTTATATTTTTGGAACCAAAATTACACAGTCACTAGGGTTCCTCTGAAATGACTGATGTTGAGGGTGATGTAATCTCTAGGAGAAAGGGAATTCATCATTTATTTTGGAAACAATATCTGGGGGAAAAAAAAGAACTGTTGGCAAACCTTTATACTCATGTTATTAAGCAGGCCAAGGATGATTATTTAGATGTGAAATAGCTGCTAGGAATGATTTAGTGGTATGGATTTAAAACCTCCTATAAAGTTAGAAATCTGCTGCTTGAAATACTATATGGATTGGAGGTGTGGACTCAGTGACATAAATGCAAGGCCTAGCAATGAAAATGGAGAGGACACCACCTCAACAGATACTCTCCTGGTACTACTAAGGGTCTTTTTTTTTTTTAAGATTTATTTTATTTTTTGAAAGGCACAATTATGGGGGAGAGGAGCAGGAGAGAGAGGAGAGACAGAGAGACAGAGAGATAGAGACAAAGAGAAATTCATCTTCCATGTGCTGACTCACTCCCTAAATGGCAGCAACAGCCAGGACTGGGTGAGGCCAAAGCCAGGAACCTGGAACTCCAATCGAGCCTCCTGTGTGGGTGGCAGGGGTCCAAGTACTTAGGCCATTCTCCATTGCCTTCCCAGGTGCATTAGCAGGGAGATGGATAGGAAGTGCAGCAGCCAGGACTCAAACCAGCGTTCATATGCAATGCCAGGATTGCAGGCAGTGGCTCAACTTGTGCCACACTCTGGCCCCATTATTAAAATCTTAATGTGTATTATAGCTGACAGCATAATGTCAAGCATTTCCTTTATAAGTATAAACTTAAAAAACAGCTACTAAGCAAAATTTTGAAAAACAATTTAAGTAGAAAAGAATTTTTTCTTTGTTTTTTAAAGGTGTGTGTGTGTGTGTGTGTGTATGTGTGTGTGATTATTTTTGGAAAACACATATCTGGTCACATCTGCCAAATAAGTGGCCATTCCTGTGTTAGGCCCAGTGGTGCACACAAAAGAAACCCTGGCCCTGAGGAGACTCAAGTTCTACATGTGTAAACAATTGAAGAAAGAGCCACAAAGGACAGTCTGCTTGACAGTAAGTTGTTCTTTTAGTGGTAGAATGAGAAACAGGGGAAGAAGAGCAGCAGGAAAGAAGAGATAGGATGGGGTGGAGAGGCTGGAAACCCACAGAGGAGCCAGAGGGGCTGTGTGGACCTTTGGGAGAGAGACTCTAGCCAAGAAAGTCAGCATTAGGGAGCCTCCCAAGGAAGGAACTTTAGTAGGAAGATCAAGGATGGGGCAGAGGAAGGTCACTGAGCAATGAGGCTCCAAGACACTCTGCAGGTGTGGGCACTGTACTGCAGTGGGTTAAGCCATCCTTGGGATCCCTAAATCCCCGGTCAGAGTACCTGGTTCAAGTCCCAGCTACTTCTCTTCCAATCCAGTTTCTTGCTAATGCACCTGGGCAGCAGCACATGATGGCTCAAGTGCTTGGGTCCCTGCCACCCACAGGGGAGACTTGAATGGAGTTCCAGGCTCCTGGCTTGGGTGTGGCCAAGCTCTGGCTATTGTGGGCATTTGGGGAGGAAACCAGCAGATGGAAGATCTCTCTGTTGCATTGCTTTTCAACTAAACAAATCTTAAAGAAAAAAAAAAGGAAAGGAAAAAAAAGATTCTGAGGGCAGCAACGTCAGGGAATTGGTGGCTCACAAACTAGGGCACAATGATTGAAGAGTAGGGGAAAGCTGGGGTACTGATAAAGTCATTCATCCCTTCATTTCACAAATAATCAATTTTGGCAAGATTCTTGCCAGGTGCTGTGGAGATACACTGATAAAATTCTGTCCCTGAGGTGGTACAGCCTAGTGAGGAAGACCAGGGACCTAGACAGACAACACTCATGAGGCTGAGGACACAGAGACTTGGGTAAATTTACTTGGGTAAATTCAGAAAAAAAAGAGAATTCTCTGGCTTTGTTTTCTCGTCTTCCATTCTTCCTCTTCTTCCTGTGGTTACCTTTCATTTATCGCACTTGATGGTTGTGGGAAAAGAAAAGCCAAGGGGAAAGGAGCTATAAAACAAGGCAGAAATTTAGCAATGTTGATGGCCCCGCCAATGAAGAAACAGTAATAATGCCAGAGTGGATGAGTTTAATAATTCAGATTTATTCTTTTAACAATGGGAACAGAAAAGTAAGGAGTGTGCAAGAAGAAAATCAAGGGAGAAAGGAACGAAAAAGGAATACGAAGAATAACATCTGAAAAGAGGTTCTGCAGGTAGGCCGTGATTAGGGGCAAGGGCCAAAGAAGGCATGGCTGAGGTGCGGTCAGTGGGTCACCAGGGGTAAAATTAAACTCCACCTCAAAGAAATAAATTGAAAGTCTAGGTATATTTAAATTGTCGGTTTTTGAAAGAATGGTTAAAACAAAAGCTACTATGGGGCCTTTGAACAAAATTTTTAATGGTGGGAGAGAAAGTAAAGATGACTACTTATTGAATATACTTTTTAACATTTTCTTCAGCACAACACACACAGAATGAATAAAATAAAAAAGATGAGGCATATTTCATTAGAATAATTAACACTCCAGTGGTTTTCTCTATGCTAACCACTTTGAAGTGCTTAACAGGTACTAACTCATTTAATCCTCATTGCAACTCTGCGAGAAAGATATAACTATTATCTCCATTTTATCAATAAGGAGACAGAGGCACAAAGAAATTTAACTTGCCCAAGGTCATACAACTTTTAACAAATCACTATGTAAAGTTGCTTTCCACAGTTAACCCAAGCCTGGTCACAAATTCTGGGTAGAGTCACTCTCTAGTGGAATGAATTTAGAGCGTTTACACTATAGGGACACTAATTATTACTATGAAGACGGTGACTTTGGATTGACAGTACATGGTTCTTTAAAAATCACACAGGAACTTACCAATCAAGTCTGAGGGACACATAATGTGAGAATGCTACAAATGGACATGAATGGCATTTCAAAGGTCAGTAGGAGGATTAAAAAGATGATATGAAGTCACAGGTCCAGTAAGCAAAGTTTATCCAAGTGGCTACTTTTGGTGGTAAAAATACAGCAAATTCCTTGGTAAGAAAGTATATGACAGGGCCAGTGTTGTGATGTAGTAGGTTAAGCTGTGGCCTACGGCACTGGCATTCCATATGAGCACCGGTTCTAGTCCCAGGTGGTCCACTTCAGATCCAGCTCTCTGCTAATGTGCCTAGGAAAGCAGCAGAAGATGACTCAAGTGTTTGGTTTCCTGCACCCATGTGGGAGACCCAGAAGAAGCTCTTGGCTCCTGGCTTTTGCCTGGCCCAGCCCCTGTCATTACAGCCATTTGGGGAGTGAACCAGTGGGTAGAAGACTGTGTGTGTGTGTGCGTGTGTGTGTATGTGCGCCCGTGTGTGTGTGTGTGTGTTCCCTACCCCCATAACTCTGCATTTCAACAAAAGAAAAAAAAAGGATGCATATGATAGACCATGGTGCTGAGTAAGACCTTAGGGATCTGCTGGTAGCATGGCATGGTACTAAAATCACACATTTGGGTTTGGGTCATCCTCCATATCTTTATGCTATTTGTCTCCTCTTAAGAACTGTACTCAAAAGAATATTGCTGGATCTTCAGTAAAAATGTTATATGAAAATCTAATCTATTGTTAGAAAATAAATTTATATAGTTAAAAAAATAGAAAAATAAGAAAAATAGACCTTACTGGTTTATAATTAAGGAAAGTTGTCCTTTTCAAAGGCAGAGAAGGTAAAAGCTTCCTTAAGATCCCACTACCAACTGATATTATGGCAAAGGAAATGCTGGAGAGAGGTGGAGGAGGCTGATTTCAGATTCTAACAGGTTGACCCTCCCATGGTGACTTTTACCTGTTTGGTTTTCTTTGACAGGGCAGGAACTGGAGTTGTCTCCTGCTGCATCACTTCTGTGTCTCCTCCCCCTTCACCATCTGATGCTTCTAGGAAAAAAGTTTGGAAATTAGGAAAGTGTTTCTTATTCCCACTGCTAGTGCAAGTGCATCTCTCCAGAAGGTTCTACCTCTTGACTTTGTAATTCTAAGAAGCTGACATTAATTAACTGACCCAAATAAAGACAAATTTCAACACCAAGATGGCAGTCTTATTTATCTAGATGTCTAACATTAAAGAAAATTTAATTATGGAACTCATATAATAAGGACTCTTAGCTGCCTATAAAAAATGTTTATTGGGGTCAGTGCTGTGGTATAGTAGGTTAAAATGCAGCCTGCAATGTCAGCATCCCAAATGGGTGTCAGTTTGAGCCCTGGCTGCTCTACTTCTGATCCAGCTCCCTGCTATTGTACCTGGGAAAGCAGTAGAGGCTGGCACAAGTCCTTGGACACCTGAGCCCATCTGGGAAAACTGCAAGAATCTCCTGGCTCCTGGCTTTTGCCTGGCCCAGCCTTGGCCATTGTGGCCATTTGGGAGGTGAACCAGCAGATGGAAGATCTTGCTTTCTCCCTATGTCTTTTCTTCTCTTTCTCTGTAACTCTGACTTCTAATAAATAAATCATATGCAATTAGGTTCATTTAAAAAAATAAATAAAATGTTTATTAAGTGCTTATAATGACAAAAGCCATCTTATGATGATGTTATATTATAATATACTAATAACATAATAATTAGCCATCTTTTGGTAATAATAAGTGATAATAATAACTAGCACTCTTGTGCAGTTAGCGTTTGTTTAACACCAGGCTTCAAACACATTATTGTATTTAATTCTTACAGATATGAAATTCTTCATTTCCAGACAGGAATACTGCTGTTTAGAGAGGTGATATGATTCCCAGGTCCCACACTTGGCAACTGAGGGCTACTTGAGTCCAAAATCTTCCCCAGGAAGTGATGCCTGCATTCAGTATAAGCCAGCCCTGGATACCTTAGGAGTTTTGGGAAATCTTAACAAACTGGGATTACAGGTTATGATAAACTCTCATTGTGAAAATCTTTTCATCTTTCCACAATGAAAAAGATGCATTCTGATTATAAGAATCAGGAAAATTAAAAGTCCTGTCATTTGCAACAAAATGAATGAAACTGGAAACCATTATACTTAGTGAAATAAGCAGTCCCCAAAACCCAAATACCTTGTTTTCCCTGATCTCTGGTAACTAATAGAGTACCTAAAAGGCAATCTGTATGAGTGAAATTGGCACTTTGAGGTGCAATGACTTTAATAGCTCTTGTCTTGACCCTTGAGGAACAGTGTTTTTATTTCTTCATACTATTTGTTGAACTCTTTACTTAGTGTAGAGTTAATCTTATGAGTATAAAGTTGGGGGGTTGGCGCTGTGGCACAGCAGGTTAATGCCCTGGCCTAAAGTGCCAGCATCCCATATGGGCACCGGTTCAAGACCTGGCTGCTCCACTTCTAATCCAGCTCTCTGCTATGGCCTGGGAAAGCAGTAAGAGGATGGCCCAAGCCCTTGGGCCCCTGCACCTGCATGGGAGACCCGGGGGAAGCTCCTGGCTTTGGATTGGCACAGCTCTGGCCATTGTGGCCAATTGGGGAGTGAACCAGCAGATGGAAGACCTCTCTCTCTCTTTCTCCTCTCTTTGTGTATCTCTGACTTTCAAATAAATGAATAAATCTTTAAAAAATGAGTATAAAGTTAACTGAAAATAAATCTTTGTAAAAAATAAGAATGTGAATAGGATAGGGAGGAGGTGGAAGGGTGGGAGCATTGTGGGGAGCAACTGGGAGCAACTCGGACTAGACTAAGTTACTGGAATTAAGACTTATTCTATGCATCTGCTTTCCCACAATATGGCGCTGAGAAGGGAAACAGCTTCTACACAGCTGCCTCCAGTTCAACCAATAAACTGTAGGACCTGCTCCTGATTGGAGGAGAGCAGCGTACTCGGCGTGTGGGTAGCAGAGTTGGGATTGGCGGAAGAGGACTATAAAGGAGGAGAGAGACAACATGCACCAGGAACATCTATCTGAAGGAACACCTGTGCAGCCCCCGAGAGAGCCGGCCGGCGGTGTGCCGCTCCCCCGTGGAAGTGGGGAATGTGGCAGGGGGAACCGCCCTTCCACGGAGGTGGAAGGGACGGTAGCCAACCCGGGAAGAACCAGCAGCAAACCCGGGGAGGGCCGAGCAGACAAAAGAACAGCGCAGGGTCCTGTGTCGTTCCCCCATGAAGACGGGGAGCGACAGAGCATGGGTGGGAAGGAGGGTAGGGAGGGAAGTATCACCATGTTCCTGAATCTGTCAACATGAAATTTGTATACCTTAAATAAAAATTTAAAAAAGTTATGAGTTTCCTGTTTATAAAGCTGTCCTAAAGAGACATGACAACCAGAAGGTTCCTGTTTTCCCTAATATTATAATGCTTTGCGGGTTGCTCCCTTTAAACCAGGGGTGGAGAACGTCTGGGCTGCGGGCTGTATAAGGTCCCTGAAATCATTTGGTCGGGCTCTGCCAAGGCAACCACAGGTAGAACTCAGAAACTCAAGAAATCTATAGCAGGCTAATATTTAAGTTGATAATTGTGTATGGCCCGTGAATAATGCTATAAATGTCCAAACGACCCTTGGCAGAAAAAGGTTCTGCACCCCTGTTTTAAGCAAACTTGATCTTCAAAAGCCTTTACTCATTCTTTTTGAGCTTTCCTATATATTTTGAAGTAAGCCCCAAAGGGAAATTTGTGAACAAACTTGGTCAGAATTCACTTTTAGGTCCAAATCAATCAGCTTGGTAGAGTAGAGTATTTAAAAGTCTGCATACTATTATGGTAAATTTTACCTCTCAACTTGACTGGGCCACAGAGTGCCCAGATGTTTGATCAAACATTATTCTCGGTGTTGCTGTGAATGTTTTAAGAAAGATTAACATTTAGATGGTCAATCTGAATAAAGCAGATCAGGCCCCCCATAATCACAGGGCAGACTAATTTGATCAGTTCAATAAAAAGTCTGACCCTTCCCTGAACAAGAGGGAACTATTTCTGACTTTAGGATTGAATGGAAACATTGGTCCTTTCTGGTTCTTCAGGCCTATCAGTCATCAGCTCTCTTGGGTTTCCAGCTTCCTGACTCACTCTGCAGATATTGAGACTATCCATAATTATGTGAACCAATTCCTTATAATCCTTCTTCCTCTGTATATATCCTTTGGTTCTGCTTTTCTGGAGAACCTTGACTAAAAGTCACACTTACAATTGTGTAGCAATACAAAAAGGACACTACTGAATGAAGTAGTGAAAAATGACAGGCCTTTACAATGAGCAATTAAATTATAAGTATGTACAGGATTTTCCTTGAAGAAAAGATAGCTATAGGAGTTATACTATTCCCTATTCCTTCTATGAAGTTCAACGAGAGAGAGAGAGAGAGAGAGAGAGAGAGAGATTGATTGATTCCAAAGATGCAGAGAAGATGGCAGATCAGCTGGGGACTCTGAAACACACAGTAGTGAGCTTCTTCAGTTATCTTTTGCTTTGGTAATCTGAGACTTATAGCTGGAGAAGACAGCTACCTGAAAACATCAATAGGAGCAGACCAAATAAGGCCAAATAAGTCTGCTCTCTTTGGTAAAATAACCAGAAAAATGGCAGTCTAGGAAGATAAAACTTTTAGACAATAACCACTAGACTGTAGTCAGACACCACAGAAAAAACTGTGGCCTCACCTCCATCACCAGAGACAGAGTGGATAGCCTAGACTTCCCTCTTTACCAGGCAATATGTAATGAAATACCCTAATCCCCCCCCCCCCAACAAGAGGGGTTTCAGAGATGATCAGATAGGAAACTGGGACTCTAATCTCCAGCAGCTGATAAAGCACTGCTGTCCTCTCCACCCACCACCACCATCACTGTCCCATCAGTGGATACCACATGGAGAACCTAGACTTCTACACCCTCCTGACAGTAGTGAGGTACATCTTTCTGATCCCACTGGGATGGTGTCAGAGGGAGACTAGCAGAGAGGTCGGACTTTCATTACACGCAGTGGTAATAAACTCATACTCATGCTAGTGATTTTAGCAGCAACTAACAAGGCTACACAAAGAAATACACTGAAAAATACTAACATAAATCAAAGTGGGTTTCTAGAAATTAAGTTATCCATAGACATGTAGGAAAAATGAGACAGAGAAAGGAAAAACAGTGAACAAAAAAGAGAAAAATCAAATGACAGATTTATGTCCTAATCAACCATTACATTAAATAAAAATCCTCTAAACATACCAATATAAAAACAGAAATTGATAGAATAGGTTAAGAAACATAACCTAATTATATGCTGTATGCAAGAATGATATAGCAGGTTGAAAACAAAGAATAGAAAAATAATATGAAACTATTGGTCAAAGGAAAGCAAGAGCAGCTATTTGAATATAAAAAATATAAATAAAGTAGACTGAGAGCAAGGAAAATTACAAAAGAATGAGATAGACATAATGATAAAAGGGTCAGTCTCTCTGAGAGCATAGAAATCTCCACTATGTAAGCGACACACAACACAGCTTAAAATAGTTGAGGCAAATTTGATAGAAATGAAAGGAGAAATTGATAAAACCAAATTCAAGTTGCAAACAGCTTATAAAATTAATTTAATTGGGAGGCAGAGAGAAAGAGAAAAGGAGCTCCCATCTGCTGTTTCACTTCACAAACACTCACCATAGCCCCTAACTGCAGCCTAATCCAGGAGCCATGAACTCAATCCGTGTCTCCTACATGAATGACAGGAACTAAATCACTTGATCCATCACTACTGCTTCCAGAGTCTGCATTGCCAGGACCTGGAGGTGAATATCGAACTCTAGTACTTAAAATGAGATGTGAGTGTCTTAACCTACATCTTAACCACTAGACCAAACATCTTCCCCTACATCTAAGAAAAAAAATCTTTTGAGAGCCACACACACACACACACACACACTCCCATCTGCTGCTTCACTCCCCAAATGCCCACATGGCTAGGGCTGGGCCACATGCAAGAGCAGAAATCTCAATCCAGGCTGCCCTCATGGGTGGC